TGTTTGTAGCAATGGTAGATTCATCACAAGGAAATGAAAAAGTTCAGAGATACGAAATATGGACATCTGAAGAGAGTAATGAATTGCTTAGACTCATAGTTGATGCAGCCAATCGCGGATGGCGTGATAAGTCTGGAAATTTGAGTAAAGTAACCGTAGAGAAACATATATTGCCCCCTCTTAATGCAAAGCTTGGAACTGAGAAGACGTATGCTCAATATAAAAGTCGTGTAAAATGGTTTAAGAAGCAATACGATAAATATGCCAAGCTTATGCGACATAACTCGGGCTTTGGCTGGAATGACGTGACCAAGAAATTTACTGCTGATGAGCATGTGTGGGAGGACTACTTTAGGGTAAGCATGTTTTATTGATAGTACATGATATGATTAAAATATTTCATACCATAGTGCTTAAATGAGTTTTTTTTTTCTTTTACTAGTCTCATCCCGGGGATAAGAGTTACAAGACAGACACTTTTTCTGATTATGAAGATTTGAGAATTGCTGTTGGATGTGGAACTGCTATTGGCAAAAGCTCAATTGCAATAGGCGATGATGTTGAAGAAACGACTTTTGAGACGGAAGAAAGAATGGAAAATATTAATTCCATAGACGACCTGATGCATGATCCAGATTCTGAGGTGTTCGTTAACACTAATAGCCCTCTCGACCATATGTCATTATCTCCGATGCACTCTCCACCATTCGCTCAACACAAAAGTTCAGAAAAACGTCCACCCGTTCGAAAGCGAAACAGAACTAATTTTGAAGCAAACCCCAAAAGCACAGCATCTGGCCCTGACAACCTCACAGAAAGCGTTAACAAGATTGTCCGTGCTATTGAGTCTGTCGACACTAAAGAGTATAACTGTTGGGGCATTATAAAGGAGATTCCAAACTTAGACGACGATTCACGCTTCAAGGTCCTTGATTTGCTTAATACTAGAGCAAAGAAAGCAGAGTTTTGGAATATGGCACCGGAAGAACGTTTGAGATGGATTGCATATAAATTAAAATGATCTATTTATATTCTAGCTCCATGTGACATAATAAGTGGTTGATATTTTTAACTTTGATTTTGTGACATGGCATTTTTTATTTTCCTTTAAGGATATATGCATATTGAATTTGAACCTTGTTTGGGATATTAACCAATCCAATGGTTTTTTATTTATTTATTATGTCGATGCTGTTTTGAAATTAATATTATTGTTATTTGATAAGCCTTTTCATACCATTGATGATGATGTATTTATTTATTTATTTTTTTATTTCGCTATTTCTTTTTTAGGTACTTGTATTCACATAATGTCTGATAACATGATGCATGGAGACAATGACACCATCATGGAAGAGAATGAGGAAAATGACTATGAAGAGACTTTACATGAAGCTAATAGGCTGTTGTGCTTGGCAATTCAAGCAATTCTTTGCTTGTTGAACGAGCATATAACTAGTTCCTCTCTTCAAGGGGCAAACCGCTCATTGGCAAGGCGACCGGTAACAAGTCATGGGCATGATTATATAAATAAAATTTTAAGAGAAGACCCAGATAACTTTCGAGAAATTTATAGGATGTATCCTCAAGTGTTTCTAAAACTATCTTACATCATACGAGAAAAAAAATTACTACAAGATACAAGGTACATCTGTATCGAGGAAATGCTTGCAATGTTCTTGCTCATCGTTGGTCAAAATAGTCGTTATTGTGTGATTCGTAAAATATATGGCCGGTCTCATTTCACAGCAAGCCAAAATTTCAACAAGGTTCTAAAAGTGTTAAAAAGGCTTGCCGTTGATATGATGGTCAAGCCAGGATCTACAGTCCCAGAAAAAATAAGAGAGAGTACAAGGTTTTATCCTTATTTCAAGGTAACTGATATTATTTTTTTTAATTAGATTTGGTGTTAGTATTATTGTTATATAGAGGTTTTAGCATTGTTATTTTTATCACTATTTACTAAACTTTTGGTTATTCAGGATGCTATTGGAGCTATCGATGGAACTCATATTCCAGCAATGGTGACTGAAAAAAATGCCCCAAGTCATAGAAATCGCCATGGGATTATTTCACAAAATGTTTTGGCTGCTTGCAACTTTGATCTAGAATTCATTTATGTACTTAGCGGTTGGGAAGGTTCAGCACATGACTCCAAAATACTCAGTGATGCTTTAACAAGGAAAAATGGACTCAAAGTACCTCAAGGTATGATATAAAAAAAAATAATAATAATTGACATATGCACAAAACATATTACAAATTAGTTTATTTTCTTTCATATGTATATACATTTTTCTTGATATGACTTATGAGTTAATAATTAATTATTTTATATCCAGGTAAATGGTTTCTCGTGGATTGTGGATTTCCAAATCGACGTCAATTTTTGGCTCCTTTTCGAGGTACTAGATATCACCTTCAAGATTTTTCTGGTCAAGGGCGTCATCCTGAAAATGCAAAGGAATTGTTTAATCTTCGTCATGCGTCTTTGAGGAATGTGGTGGAGCGAATATTTGGCATATTTAAATCTCGTTTCACAATTTTCAAAGCAGCCCCTCCTTTTCCATATCGTACACAAGCAGAGCTAGTCTTAGCTTGCGCAAGATTACATAATTTTCTGCGCAAAGAGTGTCGGTCTGATGAATTTCCAGTTGATATTGAAGACGGAGTCTCAACAGAAGATGAAGCGCCAAATTTTGGACCCTATTTTGAGAGTCAAGAACATGAAAGAGAAGCTGCAAATGCGTGGAGATTGAGTTTGGCAACGAACATATGGAATGATGTTGGAAATATTTGATAATTTATTTCATTTTTGCTCTTTTTTATTTTTCTAATTCCCGTACAATGTCAATAGATAACTATTGTGCTACTTTGGTTCGAGTGTTGAATGTTTTTCATGCTTGTTTTCTTATCGATTTTATTTGTTATAATATTTTTTTTCCTCTTATCTTCATTCTTGCTCTGGATAATGCTTAATATCATAATACATTTTGAATTAATATTATAATTTTTTTAATTAATAATTTGACTTGATAGATACTAGTTATTATGCACATAATATTTTTATGAGCATTTCATACAAATATATTATTATATTATGAATTATATAAAAGTCTTAAAAAGTCTCAAAAAGTTCATATTTGAAGTCTTAAAAAGTCTTCATAACAATCCCACAAAATCCACCAAAGTTATTAAAAGTTACATAAAGTCCACAAAAGTCATCTACTTTAAAAAGTCTTAAAAAGTCACTAAAAGTCTCAATTGAATACAGCCCCCTTAACCTTCCCCAGTTCACTTTCTTGAAACACAACTCGGCCTCGTCTCCGACTAAGATTTTTACAGCCACCGCCTCAGTTCCACCGCCGACCAATCTTCAGAATTCTCCGGCGGGCGATCTCTAGAGTTAATCGCCCCCCGCCTCCAAAATCGCTTCTTTTCTTCAACTTTAAAAACATTTTTAGAACCCCACCGCCACTTCACCGGCGCCTCTTTCATCCTTTGTAAACCCTTAATAAAAACCCTAAAAAAGATCTACTAGCTATGGAAGCAGTCGTTGTAGACGCCGGTACCGAATTTCTCAAAGCTGGCTTTGCTGTTCCGGACCAGCCCCCGACTATGGTAACAGCCATTTTCCGGCTACTTTTTATGTAGCGCGATACTCTTGGCCTTGTCCATCGAATTCTAATGCCGTAAAGGTTTCTTTGATGAATTTGTGACCGAGTTTGATTAGGGTTGTTTTAGATGATTAAAATCATGTGCCCTTGATTTGGAATATATTGTTAGGTCTTTTCACTAATTATAACAGTCTCCATTGTGATTGTTCCCTGCAATCTTCATGTGAGTTGTAAAACGTATGTGATTGTTCCCTGCAATCTTCATGATGTGTTGTTTATGGTGCTAATAATGTCTTGAAATGGTGATTGGTGATGCTAGCAGGCTAGCTGTATATCAAAATGTGTTGCCTTTGCTTGTAGCAATATGCACTGAATTTATTATGATGTTTTTGATGATCTAATGCTTCTGATTGCTTTGTGATCGTAGCACATGCACTGTTTCTTTGTTTAAATGAAACAGTGTAAATGAAAGCCGGAGATTTTAAATGCAATAAAACCTCGTAAAATTATCTACAACATTGTGGCACATCATTATTATTAAGTGAATTTGTCTTGTCACATACAGGTTTTAGAAGGAAATATGTTTATGGTGAAATTATTCATTTCCTTTTAGATGCCATCGGTGAAGCACATAATTAAATAGTGTGGTTCGCAAATGGTTTGTACCATTTTAATAACGTCACAAGTGCGGTCTACATCGCATGAGATACCTTGGATAATGCAAGATCAATGCCGTTGTGAATAATAACATGTGGTTTGTTGTGAATAATAACATGATATGCTGGAAGTTTAACCCACATGATATGCTATGCTATGCTAAGATCAATAACCAAAAACTTGGTGTTATAAATGAAGGTGAAAATCGATGGTCTAATAACTTAAATTGAAAGAAAAAGAAATTATTAAACTACAAAATAAAATGGCTGCGAAGATTGTCTTTCTTCTCTTGACGATGTTATTGACATTGCTAATAGTGCTGTCTAAACTTGACAACGTCAATAGCAAGCTCTCAACAGATGGATGGATACCCAACATGGTTTAAGCTGGCAGATGGAAAACTTGTAGCCATTTTGACATGCTCCTCATAAATGCCAGCTTTTACGGCATTTACCATATACGTGAAGGCCGGCATTTATGAGGAACAGGTCAAACTTGCAATGAAAATGCCTAATGTCTTCATCGATGGGGATGGCATTTCTGAGGAACAGGTCGAAATTCCACTCATTCTGATTGTTCAATTATTAGAAATTATCAACTTATCAAGTAGCTTATCAACTAGTTTTATTAAACATGGTTTTCATTGTGCAACTCATCGTATTACTTTAACTACAGAAAAATCTGCCTCTCATGCAGCCCCAATGTACATGACATTTTTTTACCTTAAAATTAATTTCAAGCAAAGGATTATCGATGAGTTGCATGAGAGGCAGATTTTTCTTAAAATTAATTATCTATAAGAAAAATATCGTCGTCAAGTACACATCTCAAGATTTCTCCCTCGCCGTGTGTAGATATCAGCCAACCTCTCATGACTTTAAGAAAAAAACTCAACAGATTAGTAAGCGATGTGCCGTTAACTACATTTTAAGTAAGTTTTCGGCCAACGGCTCTTCCGCAAAGCAGTGCATTATTCGGTATGTCGTACTCATTCGCGAAAGATGGTGTCGGGTTGTAAACCCTCAGACATAACTGCTGCCCGAGATATTGCCTTCCCCACCTTGCTGACCTCAGATTCCACATGCCTTGATTGTCCAAAGACACTAATATGGCAGTCCATGATTTTGGATATACCTGCAAGAAGAAGGAATATTGAGCCAATGAACTAAAATGAACTTCAACTTGAACTTTTTTGGTCTTTTTAGGCAAGTAGTTACCTGTGTGGTGTGTCTAGTCAAAGCATCATCAAGATTGTACGTCTGCCTGCTAGCCTACATCCACTGACCATTCCCAAATCTTTTCCATCGAACGACCAAAAAAAATTAAAAATAAAAAATAAGNTAAAAAAAAAAACAAGAAAATACCCAAAGCTTGAAGTGTGTGGCTCAAATGGCAAAGATAATATTTGACCATTATTGGATTACAAATTTTCAATAATTGGGGTTTCAGAAGGGAAATGAATGGGAAGGGAGGGAAGGAATTATCATTTTTTTCTTGTTTGGTTCCAATGCTCTGATGGGAAGCCAAGAAAAATTTGGAGTTACAAAAAGTGGAGAATTTGGAGATGGAAAAGAATAAATCTCTTCATAAATATTTACAACATAAATATATATAACTTTTGTTGTAAATTTAAAAATAATTAAAGTGAAATTGGTGGTGTGGCGGATGGAGGCGGTTGGGAGATATTGGACATGGAGAGACTCGCAAATAAGAATACATGGTCTGGGAGAGAGATGTGTAAAGTGGACATGGAGAGACTCGCAAATAAGAATACATGGTCTGGGAGAGAGATGTGTAAAGTGGAGAGTTGGTGAGAGGAGTATAATTAAAGAGAAATGTTATATGTACATAATATTGTACATAGGGGTGTACATAACATTCATTGAGTGGGACCTATCAAAAATAAAAAATCAAGTGGACCTCACTCATGTGAGTGTTATGTACACCTCTATATGTACATTTATTTATTATTATGTACTTGTAACATTTTCCATAATTAAATAACTGTCTCTAGGGTTAAACAATTCAGCGATGTTTACTATGTAATTACATATATGTCATTACCAAATTGACTGAAATTAATAACCTTTGACTTTATTTTAATCATTGATAAAATAGATCCAACGGTTCATAATTATTCTTATTTCTTTAATTATGATTCATTCTCTTTTNATAAACTTCGTCCCTCATTGGACAACCGGTAAAGAGACAAATAGTCTTTTTTTTTTTTTCTCGAAACGATAGATATGAATAGACTACAACAAATATACAATGTTCGAAAGGCCGAATGACCAATACAAAGAAGGAGTTCCACAGGGGAACTAAACAAATATACAACCAAGATAACTTGCTAAAAGGCAGTAAGAATACTGAAAACCTTTAGCTAACCTATCTAGGCCTAATGCAAAAAGAAAACTAGCCACTGACCAAAGGACCTAGCTAGGGATACACATAGGAGGGAGCAAAGAGGAGAAGAGCCAAAACACAAAGAAGAATACACATAACTACATAACCAGAGCAAGGCTACAAACCAAAGCAGTTAACTAAACTAAGAAAGGAAAGAAGCTAGCAATGCAAAGAATTAACAGCTGAAAATTCCTGCCATTCAAGGAGAGCAGATTTGATGGTTTCCTTTTCAGGCAGCCAAGTCTTCTTGAATATCCATAAGTTTCTGGATTTCCAGAGCCACCACAAGATGTATGTGGTGAGCTCTATCCTGTCTACATCTTCCTGCCCTTTTGCTGAGCAGATGTCTCTCCATCAGTACTTGAAGTAGGGAGTCTGAGGGTTAATGTTAGGCCAGGACAGTGGTGCCAGCTTCCATGTTGTTTGGGCTCTGAAACAGTGGAAGAAAATGTGTTCTATAGATTCCACAGCTTCCCCACAGCAGGTACAAATTGTGTCAACAGCAAGGCCTCTTCTAGCAAGGTTGGAACAAACAGGTAGGGTGTTGTTGAAACACTTCCAGATAAAGTGTTTCAGCTTCCTCTTTACTTTCAGCTTCCAAGACTGAGTTCTGACTTTGTTGATCCAGGTGGATTGGGAACTGGATTCAGGCAGGTCCAGTTTGCTTAGTTTGCCTTGGATTAACTTAGCATAGGCTGATGAGACTGAGAAAACCCCTTTCTTGTCTGGTATCCAAATGAATCTGTCATACTTCTCTTTGTCTTGACTATTTATGCTGAGAATAGCCTCTGCTTCCTGCATTGAGAATGTGTTTCTGATGAGATCAATGTTCCAGCTGCAATCTGAGGGATTCATAAGCTGACAGACTTTGAATATAGAAGGAGAAAGTGAGGGGCTTCTCTGAGGCTTTAGATGTGGAAGAGAGTGGAGCCAAGGGTGCTCCCATATTAGTGCTGACTGCCCATTACCAATAATCATTCTGAGATGTTGTGAGAAGGCTGGACATACTTTCATCCAACTTCTCCATAGCCAGGAGCTGCTAAGGGGAGGTTTTGTTTCCAAGAAAGAGCCTTTTGAGAAGTATTTGCATTTGAGGATCTTGCTCATGAGGAGGTTGGGCTTGGTGATTAGCCTCCAAAGCTGTTTGAATATTAGTGCTTCATTGAAGATTCTGAGATCAGAGAATCCCAATCCTCCATTTTCCTGTGGAAGTGTTATGTGTTTCCAGCATTTCCAGTGCATGCCTCTAGCATTGTTGTCACCTTTGCTCCACCAAAATTCAGCAATTAGTTTGTTTATCTCATCACAGACTGAAATTGGCAGAATGAAGCATGACATAACATTGGCAGAATAAAGCATGACATAACAAAAACAGGTAAAGCACTTAGGACTGATTTGATGAGCACTTCCCTTCCAGCAGGAGAGAGAAATTTGTTTTTCCAGCTCTGGATTCTGGTTTTGACTACTTCAGCAACATAATTGAAGGTTTGTTTTTTGAGTGCCCAATTTGCAGAGGGAGACCAAGGTATTTGCAATGAAGTTGGTGTTGTATGCCATGAAGCATGGTGCAGATAGTGTGTTGGGTTTGTGGGGGGAGGTGTTTTTGCTAAAGAAAATGAAGGATTTTTGTAGGTTTACTTTTTTGCCAGTGAAGAGTTGGTAAGTTTGCATGATTTGCAGGATGGTATTGGTATTTTGGACATTGGCATGGCAGAAAATGATTGTGTCATCTGCAAAGAAAAGGTGGCTGAGGGTGGGTCCATTTCTCATATGACCTATTCTCATATGATTCATTCTCATATGACCTATTCTCTATATATAGATAGATAGTTGTAGAATGACTAATATTACATAGAAGTTGTATTATAACATTAATTTAGATAACTATCAAAATAAAATAAGGATAGAAGGATTTATTGTTATGGATGCATAATCCACGCCTTCAATTAAAGCGAGTGTTAAAGTTTAGGTGATTATAAAATGTTTAACTAATTTAAAATATAAATTATTATACAGTTAAATGGAAAAGTTTAAATTTACAAAATAAATCATTGAACAACATGAGTAACAACACATAAGGTATTATACATACAATTCTAAAATGCTGAGACATAACGTGTATAAATACAATTTAAATAAGCGTGTTTGGTTTGCAAGCACTGTGGAAATTGTTTGAAAAATCTAATAATAACTAAGCTCTAAGCATGGCACCTATTGTGGAATTTTGGTGCCAATATTGTGGAATTTTTTTTTTAGAAAATTTAGGAAAACTGTGGAAATTGTTTGAAAAATCTAATAATAACTAAGCTCTAAGCATGACACCGCAAGTATTGTGGAATTTTGGTGCCAATATTGTGGAATTTGTTTTTAGAAAATTTAGGAAAGAAGTGAGGAAATTAAAAGTATCGTGTAATAATATATTTGGAGTTGGATTTTTTTAGAAAATTTAGGAAAGAAGTGATGAAATTAAAAGTATCATGTAATAATATATTTGGAGTTGGGTAATTCAAGAAAAGAAAAAAAAACGGAAAGAAGTGATGAGATTATAATTGTCTTGGATAGAAAACTCATTCTAGTTATATTATGTTGAGTATATTTTTGTGAAAAAAAAATAAAAATATGAATTAGAATTCTGGCCTCTATTCTATCTGATTTTGTTTTTTTGTAATGAATCGAGTCCTGACGTATTATCTAAATGATTTTGTTATTTTAATATAGTACTAAAAATCAATAATTTTTTTAATTTAGAATAAAGTTGATTCAGTCAAATATTTTCAGGTACCGACAATCAACCCTGCAGTAATATAATTCATAAAATTTAACATTTAACAAACAATTTTTTAGAAATTCTCAGGAGTTAGTATACAAATATATCCGCTCAAAATGAGTTTTTTTAATTAATCATAATTAATTTTGAAAAAAGTGGTAGGATTAGTAGTTAGTGAGATTTTGATTTTATATTAAAATAATATTTAAAATAAAATAATTAAAGTTGTTTTGATGTAAAAGTATGAGAGAGAGATGATATGAAGCGATAGTTAGTTAATATTATGTAAGTGGATGAATAGTAAATTAAAGTTGATATGATGTGTAAGAATGATTGGTTGATATTATTTTATTATACTGATAATATTGAGGATACTGAGATTGAATTAAAGTTTAATTAGATTTTGAGTATGAATTGAGTTTTTTTTTTTTTTCCAGGGTATGAATTGAGTTTGTATTGAAATATTTGATTTAAAAATACACCCTTAGAGTGTATTTGTTTACAAATAAATCCCCTCAAAATTAATTTATTTAGTTAATCAGGGTTGATTTAGAAAAAAAAAATGGTATGGTTAGTTGTTTAAAAAAAATTGATTTTATAATAAAATAATACTAAATATAAAATAATTAAAGTTAATTTTAAGTAAAAGTAGGAGAGAAATGATGTGGAGTGATGGTTAGTTAACATTATATGAGTGGATGAATAGTGAATTAAAGTTGATGAGACGTGTAAAAAAATGATTGATTGTTATAATTTAGTTATATTGATAATATTGAAGATAATGAGAATTAGTTAGAGTTGAATTAAATTTTGAGGATGAATTGAATATGAAATGACTGATTTTGTAAACAAACACACCTTAGTGTTGGAACTCTTTTATGTTATTGTGGTCCCTTCAAGTGTTTCATAATTAATTGTTTGGTTTTGTAAAGGATACATGAAATGAAGTTGACCTCCTCCAAAATGAATTATTTCTTTGTATAATGTGATGATATTCATTAGTCCTTCCCTTTCGGGTGGAACTACATATATAGCTTTTATATTAATTTATATATAATCATAATTTGAACTTCATTAGAGTCCTTTCGGAAATAATATATGGATTTATTAGATGTATATAATTACAATTTTATTATTAATATTATGTCAATGGTCCGTGTATTTTTTATTACAAAATCACTTCTCATTTTATAATAGTATAGTTAAATTTGCAGTATATAATCATAATTTGAACTTCATTAGAGTCCTTTCGGAAATTATATATGGATTTATTAGATTGTATATAATTACAATTTTATTATTAATATTATGTCAATGGTCCGTGTATTTTTTTTTTTACAAAATCACTTCTCATTTTATAATAGTATAGTTAAATTTGCAGGTATTTTAAATTCGAGTCTGCCGTTAAATGGTTGATCTTCCGTCTAAATCAAATTCTTTTTAGAATCCACAAAATGAAGTAAGCAAGATTTTCATGGTCTGATCAGATACTTGAGAACACAAGTTAAAATTTGCAGAAAAGTGCTGAATGTAATTAGAAAAGGGGGGAAAAGAAAAAATGACCAAGACTTGTGATATGAATCTAATGAGCTCACAAGATACACTTTTTTCTTTCAAACTCATGGACCAAAACAAAGGATGCTCTCTCTTTCCTTCTTGCTTTTTTTTTTTTTCTAAGTTTTTGTACTTTTTCCGAACTCTACAAATAATTACAAAGTCGATACCAAAACGGGTTGCAAATGATGGAATTTGGATCCAGGACCTCTTAGTAATTTTGGAAACATATTATAATACCGATCTCGAATCAAACACAAAAGTTACATCCGTTTCCAACCAATTTTCTAAGTTCAAGATTCATATGAAACAAGCATAACTCATTCGTGAGCCGAGCAAAGAATCTTGAAAGCATAGGCCCGGCACGAAACACCCCTCGCCAGAGAGAAAAAAGAAAGCTTAAAACATTGCCAAACCCACACACCATATAGTTTCATAAGTCAATTTTTTTTTCATGAATGATATTCTAAACCAATCACACACAGTACTAATCATATTTATCAGCTAACTCCAGCAAGCAATGGCAGAGCTCTTGAGGCCTCGTAAACATGACCATATGGCCAGCCTCGGCTATGGACACGACGTCTGGCGGATTTTCCTCGATATTGTGCCTCTGAAACTCCACACTCGAGGCATCATCTTCCTCGCATATTACATAACAACGTTTGATTTTACCATACCTATCTTGGGACAACAAACCTGGCTTGCTCAAATCCTTCGCGAAGGACAAACTCGGTCTCAACAGCATTTTCGCTAATTCCACATCCTGAAAATTTTCGAATAATTTAAAAAAAAAATGTAATCGATTGTTGAAATAGAAACGAAACAAGAAAGGAGGCATGCATTGCTATAAACCTCTAATTGGCAATTTCCTGCCATGTCATCCACTCGGAAGGCTGCCGAAATCGGCAGCTCTCCAAATTCCGGATCGAACACAAACTCGCAATCCATAAACGACGACTCGTCCGAGGTCCTCTTCACAAACTGTAGTCAAGTTAACAAGCCGACGAACAACTTATCATAATCAAGCTAAAAAGGATTAAAAAAAGGCAAAATTACCCCTAATATCGCCATCTTTTTCGAAATGGCAATTTAATCGCGACCTTTTCACTTTTGCAAATTATACCAAAATCTTCAAATTTGCTGCAAATCGATGTGCCGATTTGCAAAACCCCGTGCAATTTATATCACAACAATCTTCAGTATGTTCTTCAGTTACATCAGCTTTTTTAGGGCTGGTTTTCAGAACCCTTGCGCTCAATTTGCAAAATCTGAAGACTGTGTGATATAATTTGCAAAAGTGAAAATATCGTGATTAAATTGGAATATCGAAAAGCAATTTAGCCCAAAAAAAAAAAACGACCTTCCGAACGAAATCGCCAGGGGGGTCCGTGCAATTAGGCATGTAGGCCATGACGAACACGGCCAATGACACTTTACCGGGGAAAGTCTCGGCCGCTACGGAAATTGAGATTCCACCGTAACTATGGCCCACCAAAATGACCCGCTCGTCGTCTGGGAGAGACGAGAGAGAAAGTCCATAAGCGGTCGGGCTTAGTCGGAAAAGGAGAAAATCTGGTGGAGCTGGCTCGAGTGGACCCCACAGCCAGCGAGGTCTAGGGCGGTGACCCTGTGCCGGTTGTCCTGCTTCAGTAGGCTCACGAGCTTGTACCAGCACGAGGCGCCATGGCCAAAACCGTGCACCAGCACAAAGTGCTTCTTGTCATTATTATTATTTTCATTCATTTTTTTTCTTTTTCTTTTTTTTTTTAGCTATGTAGTTACTTTGAGATGTGAGTTTTGTGATATTCTTTCAAGTATGGGAGTTTTTTTGTGTTTAATTCTGTTTTGACGTGTTGGTTGTAGACTTCTAGTATTTTGTGTGGAGGATATGCCTGGAAAAATTTGTGGAATATCCTCACATCGGCATAAAAATTAAATGCCATGAATGTCAAGGTCAATAAGTTTCATATTTAGAGTTCATTATGAGATCACAAATGTAAGGATGATGTGTACTTAGTGGACACAATGTACAGAATCATGCATGTGATTCATCTACGTTGTGGATAACCAATAGAGAGATAAAGGGAGAAATTCCATCTATAGTAATATAAAGAGGTTATTGGAAAAATACAAAAATAATAACTTTGATTTTAAAAATAAAGTGTTGACTTACTATTAGTAGAAATTTTGAAAAAGCACATGTGAATCTTTAGAAATCAAATTTAAGGGAGATATCCAAAAAAATGTGGAGATTCTTAAGGTAACAAATTTGGAGATTATTAAGGTAACAAATTTGGATATACTTATGCCAAAATTTAATTCATTTCATAAATACGAATCTCATTTTTATTGGTAACAAATTTGGAGATTCTTGTGCCAAAAACTTGAAATTTTGAATTGAGATATCCCAACAATTACGAATTTTTTTTCCATTCAAATTAATGTTTCAAATCAAACAAAAAATTGTTCCGAGAATAATGGATGTTGTATTAAATATTGATAAACTCCAATCCTCTATAAATTATTTATATTTGTGAATTTTTTGTGTAAATATATTGATTTTTTTTCCTAAATAATACTAAATTACCTTATTTTAGGACCTAAATCCTAACTTTTTTTCTATTTTTTGGTGGTTTATATTCTTTAATTGAAATAATATTTGACTTATTTGATTAAAACAACTTATTTTCTTTAGGAAATAAATTTAAGTGAGATATCCCAAAAAAATTTAAGATTCTTAAGGTAACAAATTTGGAGATTCTTATGCCAAAATTTAATTCATTTCATAAATACGAATCTCATTTTTATAGGTAACAAATTTGAAGATTTTTATGGCAAAAATTAAAATTTTGAATTGAGATATCCCAACAATTATGAATTTTTTTTTCCATTCAAATTAATGTTGCAAATCAAACAACAAATTGTTCCGAGAATAATGGATATTATACTAAATATTGATAAACTCAAATCCTCCATAAATTATTTATATTTATGAATTTTGTGTGTAAATATATTGATTTGGTTTTCTTAGATAATAATAAATTACATTATTTTATGACCTAAATCCTAACATCTTCTTTATTTTTTGGTGGTTTATATTCTTTAATTGAAACAATATATGAGTTATTTGATTGAAACAACTTATTTTCTTTAGGAATCAAATTTAATGAGATATTCCATAAAAATTGGAGATTCTTAAGGTAACAAATTTGTAGATTCTTATGTCAAACTTTAATTCATTTCATCAATACGAATCCCATTTTTATTGGTAACAAATTTGGAGATTCTTATGCCAAAAAATTGAGATTTGAATCAAGATATTCCCACAATTACGGATTTTTTTTCATTCAAATTAATGTTGCAAATCGAACAAAAAGTTCCTCCGAGAATAATAGATGTTATACTAAGTATTGATAAACTTCAATCCTCCATAAATTATTTATATTTCTGAATTTTGTGTGTAAATATATTGATTTGTTTTTCTTATTTGATTGAAACAACATAATTTTAGCCATATAATCATATAATATAAAAAATTCACGACTTAAATATATATCTATGAATATATAAAAAGGCAAAACATTTAGCTGTGAATAGTATGTAAAATCCCGCCTAAATTTTTCGTTTTTACTGATAATGAATTTATTAAAAAAAGGGTAAATTCCCACCTAAAGCACAAATTGATTTATATATATATATATATATAAAAAGGTTTGAAAATTCGGGCAAATCTCTATCTATGGATATTTTTTTGTCCATATCTATTAAACTACAAAATCTTTTTAAAGTTTGGAAAGAATCTCATATTATGTGAATTCCTGGTAAATATTTTTTTCTCCATATTTATCTAACTACAATATCTTTTTAAAGTTTAGAAAGAATCCACATTTTTAAAGTTTGCACTCAATCGATCCCTTATATAAACCCCTCCCCACCCAATTGCAAAATCCTAAGTTTGAGACAAAAAAAAAAATCAGTTAGTCACAAATAAAAAAAAATCACAAAAAACTCCTAAATAAAAAATTCAAATCAAACCTATCGAATTCTAGGGTTTACTTCAACATAACAGCAGCTAGCCCCGCCGCTGAATCGTGATGGAGCTCTTCGTCGACATAGTCACGAAAGACCGACGAGAACTTTTGCGCCCTATGCACCGACGAGAAGGACGTCGGCAAATCTGGCAAGCCCCTCCACCACAAAGGGTCATCCTTCCATCGTGTAATCCCCAATTTCATTTGTCAGAGCAGTGACTTCACTGCGAGTAACGACGGCAAGTCGATCTATGACGCCAAGTTTACCGACGAGAACATCATGAGAAAGCACACCGGGACCTGTCGATGGCGAAGGCTGTTCCGGGGACAAATGACATGTACTTTTTCATCTGCACGACAAGGACGAAGTGGCTTGACAACAAGCACGTGGTGTTCGGGCAGGTGGTGGAGGAGTACGACATATTGAAGGCGGTGGAGAATGTCGGGTCAGGGAGCTACCGGACCTCGAGACGGGTGGTGATCGCCGACTGCAACCAACTCCATATCTGATGGTTGTGTGTCGTTTAATTTGATGTTTGTTAGAGACTATTTTCATAACTACCTAATAATTGTCTTCTGATTTGTTAATTTTGAAATTAAAAAATAGTTTGTTTGATACTTTTTTTCATAACTACCTAATAATTTGTCTTTTGATTTGTTTAAATTTGAAATTAAAAAATGAAGTTCATGTCACGTTCGTAAGACTCTGGAAATCATATAAGAATTTTATATTATATGATCGATTGGTTCCTAAAAACTTGGCGCATATTTATATACACTCATTTTTCAAAACTTAAAATTTTAAGATTACATATAAATATTTGTTCAAATGGTCATATTTATCTTTTTAAATTTATTAAAGTTTTAAAATTACAATTAAATATTTTTTCAAATGGTCATAGTTATCCCAACACATTTTATCACACTAAAAATAATATATTACGATTTATCACACTACAAATAATATATTATAATTTAATTTTTTTCACACAAATGTTTAAAAATTTTAATTTGTTGACAAGAAGGTTTTCCACAAAATCAAACAAAAAATATTGGGTATAGGGAATTGTTCAACAATATATGATTTTTCATACTATGTATCTAATTTTTTGCCATAATAAAATGTTTAAACTTTAATAATTATATTTAAAAATAAATTTCTAAATAAGTTTTGAGGAACAAGCCTCACCGTGCATCGCACGGGTTGCTCACTAGTTACCAATAATATCAAAGTATCTATTTTGAATGTTTAATTTATTAAATATTTATTTTTTCTCATGTGAAGTAGGGTTATATTATGCTATAGTTTTTGAGTTTTACAATGGTAAACTTAATATATATCCTTATATGGTTCATATTCTATGTGAGTAATCGAGAATTGTTTTATTTATTTCCAAAAGTAATATTTGAGAAATGGAGATAGTCTAAAGTCAATTTAGGTTCTCGGCTTAGTCGACTACTGTGGAGTAACTTATCCTCCAAAAATGATGATTTTGAAGTTGGTGGGTCAAATGGCAAAGATAGGATTTGACCATTGATTGCAAATTTGCAATAATTGAGGTTTTCGAAGGGAAATGAAAGGGAAGGGAGGGAAGGAATTGTCAACTTTGTCTTGTTTGGTTCCAATGCTCTGATGGGAAGCCAAGAAAATTTGGAGTTACAAAAAGTGGAGAATTTGGAGATGAAAAAGAATAAATCTCTTTCATAAATATTTACAACATATATACATTTCACTTTTGTTGTAAATTTAAAAATATTTAAAAATTAATAATGGTTTGGTCGACCCTGTCAAGCCTGGACCTTTGTTAACTTTATCGGCAAGTTTAAATTCGACCAAAAGCTGGGATTGGAGGAACATACATAATAAATGAACATCTTAGACCAACATATATTCCAAGAATAAGTTGAATATGTACATGATTGAATGTTCTTTTTCCAGAGGAAGAGAATCTCATTTCACTTTTAAATGTACATGGCATGCTCCTATAAGATCAGAATTTTTGGCTAATTGAACTCCTCAATATGGAGCTGAAATTGAAATACAAGTTCGAGGGATATTGCTTTAAGCATAGTAGGGTGCCCAGTTTTGATCATTCTTTTGAACATGTCCATTTCGAATGCTGAATCTGATGAGCTGAAAAATCAATGTTTTGTTTAATTTGTATTGCTCGAATAAAATCAATGTTTTGTTTAATTATAATATTCAGTTTTGCTTCTATAATGTTTTGATAGAATTATTGAACATATGCATAATTTAAATCCTAGTATTCACGACTTATATATATTGATTCCTCATGAATTTGCATTCAGGGAAAAAAAGTTGAGTTTATACAGTTAAAATGATAAATAATCGAATAATATGTCAAACCACAATATAAATTATTATTCATAATATACATTTCATAGATAAAAATTATCAAATTGATAATATATCAAATTGTTGCAAATGAAAATTATGAAATTTTGTAAAAACTTTGAAATATAAATGAGATTATCAAATTTTCACATCATTAATAATAAAAGGAAAAAAAAACAACCACCTTAAACAACATATTGATATTAGGTCGATGTCCTTTTCGTCAAATTAACTAAGTCGATTTATTGTAACTATTCTTTGACTGGTACGGAGTAAAAACAACACATTTATGGAATAAACTTAGATAACTATATATAGTAAACACCACATTGATATATGTATATATATTGTATATA